AAATACATAAACAAAATTTACAGAAAGATTGGGAAGGGCTGCTGTCCTGTGTTTAGAGGACACCCCGCTCCTCATCTCTCTCTTGCTCTCTCTCTCACACACACACATACACACTTAAAAGTTCATTCAAAAATATAAGAGTGTCTCTGTCACTCAGCATCCAAACCTTAGTGTTAGTGGAATGCATCTTCACATCTGAAATATCCACTCCCATGCCTAACTCTATTTCAGGTCCCATGTCTCTTGCCCTTTGTTTCTGAAAGGGGAATGACTTTCCAGTGCTGAGAAGGTTTATGCTGTGTCACTGTTGATGTGGTGGACAGATACCAAGTATAGGGAGAATTTACCTTCGGACTTCCTCTATAAGAGAAAAGGCAAAATAATTAACATGGCAATTCTTTCCTCTCAGACAGCGACAGACTCTTAGATAACAGAGTGTTGTTCCTAATACGGTGGAATGTACATTTTTCTTTTTTCTCTTTGTTTGAACTTGTAATCCAGGAGATAGGCAGGATGAGTGTGATATTTGCAACAGCTGTACTTGGCACCTGAAGAACATTTTGCATATTATTTATATTAATCTTAAATTTGTGCATTTATATGTTTAGATACCATAGCTGTGAAGTGTGATGCTAATTCTTTAGTGTATTGATCTTGATACCACTTAAAGACAGTGAACATCACAATGTAAGTGATGGCAATTCACGTGATGAAATTAAAATATTTTGTAATATTCTCTGCAATTCTGATAATTTATCATTTATAAGCTATTTTAACATTTAATCTTGATATGTAAATTCATAATTTATTTCTGAAACTTAATGTAATCATTAAGAAATATATTGACCATTCCAGATCCTATTGCCTCTGCAGAGCAAAATTTCTCCAAATTGAAATGAATAAAAAACCCTCTAAGAACTATTATGACTCAACGACAGATGTCTATTTAGAAATCACTGTCAATAGAACAGAAATTTTGTGAAAAAAAAATTTTAGTTCTAAAACCATAATGTTATTTTGCTAAAATGAGGGCACAGAATAAACATATAATAATCTATGAATGATGAAAGTCTTTATTATATTACTCATTTGAAACATCGCTGGCCCATAGAAAGAACACCTAGATATGTACTATAATAATTAAATTCAATTGTCTTTGATATTTGTCAAACTAGTCATAGAAAAATATAGTTTTACAATTTTTTTTTATTTTGTCATTATGAAGGTATATTTCAAGGTAGGAGGAAAGAGCATGTTTTATTAAACAGTTTGCTCCTCTAGCTTACAATTTTAAGTATTCATAGTATTGCATGTAGGTCTTAATTGTTCCTCTTGCTCCAGGTCCCACAAATGTAGGGGCTAGGCTTGTACATTACAAATGCCCATCTTCTGTAGAAGAGTTCTCAGTAACTTGGCTCTGGATAGTTGCAAGGAAGGCTGGGAAATGTACTCCAGCCCAGGAGGAAAGAAAATGAATGATATTTGTTGAAAACATCATGGTCTCTACCACACAGTCTCATTATATAAGAAACCTTAAGAACTTTCAAAATTCTTTAACTACTTGGTATCATTGGTTATGTGCCTTATTTGCCTTAAACTATCGAGTGAGCTTTCAGAATTTTAGATGATCTAGTGCAGAGTTTTAAAATTTTATATACGTTTTACTCCTGACACACAAGATGATTTTAGGTGGTTTGAAACATTTTTACTTTAACAGTTAGGCATTCATGATAATGCAAACCAGAAAAAATTACTATCCCATCAAACCCGTGATTTCATGAATGTTATTATTTAGGATGAGGTTAGGATAAAAAGGAAATACGTTTAAAAAATTAATTCAACAAAGCAGACTCTACATTTACTCACTACAATTCATATATTCAAAAATGTAATTTTCTGTAATAGAACCAGGCTTTCAAATACCTGTTTCCAATGATGGTGGAAGGGAAAACAACAACATAAACCAGCTCATTAAAGATATCTTAATCTTTTCCTGTTTAATGCAGCCCATATTCAGGTAAATTTAGTCATTCTGAAGTTCAGATAATAGCAAAGTGTTTATCTCCTTCAAAAGATATTTTCTACCTCCTTCTCCAAATCTGGGTGCAAGAGGACTTGTGTATTCTCAGGGCAAGAGTGAGGGGCAGGAATCCCAGATCAAATAACTATTCTAGGCCAGCTTCTCTAACCTGGTGGCAGTGTAATTTGGTCTCCAGGCATTGATCTCTTGTGTACACTGATGGAGTATTTGCACCTGGTATAACTCATGGTTCGTGCTCTTGGCATGGTCAAGGTCGGGCAGCAAACCCATTCTCACCCTCTGGGTCAGGCAACAAACCCACTCAGACTCTCTTGGTTTGTCCCACTTGGCTTTCATTGTCCTTGCAAATTCTCCGTCAGTTGTGTATTTTATTAGGTCCCTGGTAGACCCATATACCCCCTATCCTCTGCTAAAGAGTCAGCTCAAACGTGGCCATCATGATCCCAGAGGAGACTTACTGGCCTTCGACTCTCAGCTGCCTTCCATGCCCATCACTGAGAATTTGGGAACTTCCAGACCCCTTTCACACAACAGGAGTTCAAAGAGAGACTTGTGTGTGCTATCTCTGCATCTGTCTCTGCCTGAACACACAATGTCCCTGTTTACTCTGCTTTCCAGAACTCCAAACAAGAAGCAGGATGAAAGCTTCCTCTGGGGCTTCCAGTTTCTCATAGTCCAGCCCCACCTTTGTTAAGGCCTAGGCTTTCTTTCTACGCAGGCTTCTCATTTTTCAGCTGAGTAGTAAAGGCTCAGAGAAATTTTTACAATGAATCAATAGCAGGGCTGGGATCAGAACTCATGGACTTAGCCCAAAATTCTCTCTGTTACTCTATGTTGAGATTTTTTTCCCCGAAAGGTTGTTAAACTCTATTCTCTGAAAATTTAAAATAAATTTAAGTCTATGCACTAACACTGTTTTTGTCTTAGGAGAGCCGGAAACATTTCAATTTCTGTATTGACTGTTACTATGGAGAACTTTTTTTAGGTTCTAATGATGATTAGGAACATTGTTGGGTCTGTCATTGAAAGGGAGTCACAGTTTTCCACCGATTATGCTGCAGTTATCTGGAAACTCAATGAAATCCTTTAAGTATACTTGGTGACTTTAACCCATTAGAATAGTTTTCATTCTATAATCACTTATTTTTGCTGCTTTCTTCCCTCTCCTTTGAAAGGAACGAGAATATGTCACCCCAAAATATGCCTCTTTGACACAAAAATTATTAGCACTTAAAAAAAATAGCAGATGCCAGAAGGGTCCTCTGACCCTCTCCTTTTTCTTCCTGAGCAGGAGATTAAATTCCTAGATGGAAGATGTCCTCCCTAAACCGGAAGGAAAGTAATGTTCTCATCATCAAGGACAAGAAGCTGAGATGGAGAGACTCCTATAAAATCAGACCTTGTTAAAATAATTCTTATCTTCCCCCGGACTCTCCACATAGTTTACTTTTCCACAATTGCTTCTCTTTGTTCAACCTAATATAAAAGCAAGTAGGTTTCACTGTTTCTTTGGGTCTTCATTCCTTATGCAGGTTTCTGGGTCACATAAAACTTACAGTAAAAAAATTTGCATACTCTTCTCCTGTTATCTGTCTTATGTCAGTTAAATTCTCAAGCCCAGTCATGTACCCTATCATCTATCTCTATCTATCTATCTATCTATCTATCTATCTATCTATCTATAGCTATATATTTATTCTAAGGAATTGGCTCATGTGATTGTGGGGCTGGAAATATGCAGGGCAGGCCAACAGGCTGGAGACCCAAGGAAGAGTTGATGTTGCATCTTGAGTCTGAAGGCAAACTGGAGGTAGAATTTCCTTCTTCCTTGGAGGACTTCAGTCTTTTCTGCATGGTTCACATCTACTATTGACTACCGCTACTGCCTCCTTTGTACATCATTGTCATTTTACTATACATTGTTCCCACCAATGTCCCCACTTCTCATTTGCTACATCCCTTAAGGGCCAATGAAGTGCCAGCTTCCTTGATGTTTTCTGTCCTGGGCTGCAGAGTGGAGAAGGCCTGGCCCTGTGCAAATGTAACCTGCACCTCACTTTACTACCTGGGCACTGAGCGTCAGGACTTGCCCACCCTCTCCTGTGCTCCTCTTAGAGTCTTAGAAACACAGCACTCTATTACTGCTGCTCTCCTCCCCCACCTGAGCTCTCATCCTTGGATCTGGTCCTAGGAATTAGTCACTAAGCTGGGAGCCTTGCTACCCTGCCAAGGACCCTCTCCTCCTGTGTAAGAGCTGGGTGCAAAACACCCCTCTTCTCCCAGACATTCCAATCTACTCATGACTTCCAAGATCAGCTCCTTCTCCTCAAGGCTTATATTTCACTTTCAACACATTTTATCATATCACTCCAGTTTCACAAATTAGAATGCTGAAGCACAAGGAAAGTCAAGTGATTTGCCTGAGGTGAGTCACACCGATAGATAGTAAAGGAGTCAGGGTTCTAATCTAGGCCTCTGATTCCATAGACCAGTGGTCCCCCAACTACTCCTCAGTGTCTGCAAGAGATGCGAAAATTGAAAGATATGGTCCCCTTCCTCAAGGAATTCACAACCTGGAAGCACAGTCTACAATTTGTAGGTCGGATCGTTTGCACTTTTCGACAATGGACATTGACTGATGGGATGAACAATGAGGCAGATTTCAGAGGTTCTTGTCCTGAGGAGGCATTTTTCAATGGGAGAGCTTCTGCTGTCCCTTGGTGGAGTGGTTCCAAACTGGCTATGCATTAGAATCCCCTGTTAAAAATACAGATCCCAGATCTTACCCAAGCCCTAGCAAGTCAGAATCTCCAGGTCCAGGGGCCAGGAATCTTTATTTCACAGACTCCTCTGGTGAGTCTTAAACCCATACTGCTCTGAAGATGGATATCTAAGATTCACTTTCTTAGAAACCACCAAAAAGTCAACTGCCTCAGAGACCACTGACTTTGGGGAAGAGACATAGAAGGAATTGAAGCAAAGGAGACTAGAGCCAGGAGTTGAGAAGATGCGTCAAGGGAAAATGTTTAACCAGAGCTATGTGATGAAATACGACATTCCATTATGAAACACCAGAACTGAAAGGCACACCAGCTAGACCTAGCCTTTGCCCAGAGCTCGTGGCAGCATTTGCTGGTAGCCCTGTCACTGGGGACTTAAAAACCGGCAGCAGCTGACAGTTTCTTTGGAGACAATTTCAGCTTTGAGCAATAGGCTGGGGTGTTTTGAATGATATAAATTAGCGAGCAACGGGCAAGAACCTGGTGCTTCCAGGTTGGCGCTACAAGCCATCCAGCCCCAGACTACCTCCTGCAGCTGAATCCAGGTGAGTGTTCTGGGAGTCAGGGATGTCACTGCCTAGTAGGAAAGGTTGCTTTCTGACTTCAGCTGGCAGGGCACCTGGGAAGGCTGCTTTTCTTTTGCTGAATGTGTTTCTCTTGACTCAATGGGTAGCACAGTTCTCTGAGGGACCAGCAATTACCTTCCTGGGTGGCTTATTACTCAGGAACACAGAATTATGTCAGATGCATCAACCAACCAAGAGACTGTTTAGACACTATTTTGGAGGCAAAATGCACACTTGGCTGCAGAAGTCAGGGTCCTACTAATGTGAACTTATGGAGAGACTGTTTCTTGACTCAAGAAGTTTTTGTCTGGGATTTACTGCTTGGGAGGAGAAGGAGGAAGTCTTGTGATGAAGAAAGAAAAGCAACAGGATCCTAAAGGGAATGGAATTTTTGTTTCTTGATCAGTAATTTTAACTTCTACGGGTGACCTTTTACTCTCTTCTAGTCTTTTGTTTCCTGCTCCCTGCTGTTTTCCTGTCCTAACAGATCAAGGCCTCCCAGTGGTGTAGGCTTGATCCCCTTCACCCTGGGACCTGGAGGTCTGGAACCTGCTCAACAATGTGGCTTCCAGTTTCAGCTCCTATCAGGTTGCATCCATGTTGCTGTGGGCTCCTTCTTCACTCCTAGCTTCACTACAAGCTAATCCTGTGTGAGGCAGGTGCATTCTTGTGTCCTGACCTCTAGTTGCTTTGTATCCCTGGTTTCATGGACACTGCAGTGTGCAGAGTCCCACCTTCTGCTGAAAAGAAGTGAGGGAGCCAGGAAGTTTTATTCCACTGGACTTTGAAGAGTCTCCCATCTTCAGAAGCAGCCTATAAAAATTCAACAGGGCTTCTGTTCTTTCTTCTTCATACTCTGAGAAATTCCACTCAATTTTTTTTTACTTTTTCATCTATCACTTGTTCTTTCATTTACTTCCTCAAAGACTTACTAACTAATCACTTTGAGTCAGGCGCCATTCTGGGAACTGAGGAATAGAGCGTTGAGCAAGGTATAATTCCTGCCCTTGAGGAATAATTTACAATCTAGAGTAGTGCTGTCCAATAGAATATTCTATGATGATGAAAATGTTCTATATCTACATTGTCCAATGCAGGGGCCTCTAGTTACATGTGGCTATTGAGCAATTAAAATGTGGTTGGTATGAGGAACTAAACTTTTAATTTTATTTACTTTTAATGAATTGAAATTTAGTTACATGTGGCTAGTGGCTACTATATTGAATAAAGAAGAAAAGGAAGAGACAGATCAAGCAGCAGATTTTTATAATATCATATGCTAAATTTAGTACTGAGATGGTTGGTTAGTCTAGTAAATAGATGAGGGTTAGTTTTAAAAGGCTTTGCCTGGATGAGATTATGAAGAGTGTCAAACACAAAGGGGAGTCCAAGTCCAAGACTGACAGATTCAGCTGGTAAGGAAATAATGAGCCTCTTTTTGATTTAAACAGTTTATGACTTACATAGATAGTAAGGCAAGAGAAGCCAAAGGTGCCAGCTCTTTGGCTCCTTGTCTCACACTCCAAAAGGATGGCACTGAAACAAAAGGAGCCAGATGACCTCAACACAATTGTAAGATGCCCTGTGGCTGAGAAGCCACCTCTAGACAGCAGCAAAATGGTCAAAGAGCTGCAGCTCTGCCTTGAAAGAGTGTCGGGGTGAGAGGGAAGGTTCTATGCCTTTCTGGAAGCAGGGAGGTGGATGGGAAAATTGCCTCATGGCAGCCTCCCACAGGATAGGGAGAAACAGATGAGAAAACAATCTCGTGAAGCCTCCTCTGAAGATTGCCTATCTTGTCATGTTCCTGGGAGGATCGCAAGGCATTCCACCAAGATTTAGGTCATGTGGTGGTTCAAGTTTGCCTGTGGATACATGGAAGGCCTCCAGGGTGCTATGGCAAAGTCATTCCCCTGCAAAGGGTCTTAAATGCTAGGCCAAAGGATTTAGACTTTACCCTTAAATGGATCTGGAAGCCATTGGAAGTTTAAAGCAGGAGAGCAATTCAATTACTTTTGTGTTTTGTAGAGATCTGATGACAACATTGCAGAGATTAGACTGGGGAGCGAAAAACTGTAAAGAAGGAGTAAAAATTAGGTAAAGGATGAGAGTTTATGGGAATGGAGAGGAGAGGATAGTCCATAATCATTTATGGACCACATGGAATGTGAAGGCCCCATGTGCAGCGAAAGTGACAAAGACAAATCAGACAGGGTCCTGCCCTCCAGAAATTTAGAGATTAACAGGAGAGCATCAGTGACTCTAATATAAGGTTCAGTAATATATCAAGCGCTTTGAGCGGCGTGGTGGAGAGCCCAGAGAAGGGAGAGCCCCCTTTCACTGAGTGTCCTGTGCACAGTAGGTGCTTTATTGATGATGATAATATGGCGTTGGATAGGATAAGCTTTAAGATTTCTTACAACTTAGTCTGAAAATCTGGGAGAGACTGGACTTTGAGTTTCAAGAAGCCTAATGGATGAAGTGAATTCCAAAAGTCACAAATGGGTGTGTTTTGTTTGATACAAACTCTGGGGTTTGTTGTTGTTTTTGGGTTTGTGCATATGTGGGTTGGTTTGTTTGTTTTTTATAGAATACATTTGAATACCCTTAGACTGGGCAGATAGTCTTTAGTTGACTACAGTCTTATATTTCATTCATGTCTGGCCTTTATCTACAAACTTATTACCTGCCTGGCCTGTATAGGTATCTGAATTTGGAACCCCTGGTATACATTGTAAAATAGGTTTAGAAAAATATGTACTAATGTACGAGCAGGGCTCCCCAACCCCAAGTCTCTCAGCGCTGTCACAGTCCCAGGGAACTTACTTGGACTCCAAGGAAAAGCAGGGTGCTCTGAATTTGGTGAGTACATCTCTGCCACCTGGAGGAACAAGGGCTCAAAACAGAAATTACTCTGAACCTGAAAAATAGAAAAAGCATTACCTTTTGTGCACATGTTGGTCTGTCGACTAAAATTTGATCGTATCATTCCATTATCTGTCCTGCCAAACTATGCACCAGGGGGTGTTTAACTAAAAGCTTCAGAGTCAGGGAAAGGAAAAGATGAAGTTAAAAGCAAGAAGGCAGTGGGGAAGAAAACAAAGGCGGGCAAGGCTAGGAAAAAAGAACGAGCTTTTATATTTCCACCCCCATTTGGGGGAAATAAGTAAGGTTTATATAACGGGTCACATGGCATGGGTTAAAATTCTTGCCTCACCATTAAGGACATAGCAAACTTAGATAAATCACTCAGCTTGCTGAGCTCAATCTCCTGACTTATAGTGTAAGGATAGTAATGATTTTTCATTCCCACAGGGTTATTACAAGGGTCAAAAGGAATAATGGCCACAAAAGGGCCTTGAAAAATAGAAAGGCTTTATTATGGGAATCCATAGTACATTCTCCAGTGGCTAGCTTTTAGCAAGTGCTCAATAACTGTTTGCTGTTGGAGGACAAAAAGGGAACTGAGGGGGGAAGAAAATTCTAATAACCATTTAAAATAGCCTGTCCCTAGACTGTCAAATGATTGTAGTATACAACTGTCTGTTCAATTTTCCTGGAGGCACTTTTAAATAGTTTATTAAAGACTATGCACAGTGGAACAGGACAACTTGTATTCCCATCTGGTGTAAATCCCACTGAAGTAGCTTCATTGTTAAGATGGATTTTTTTTTCGTATGTGGTCTCTCGTGAAATGATGCAGGAGATGGTGATTCTCCATTACAACTCTTATTTATTTATTTATTTACTTTTGCTGAGGAAGATTTGCTCTGAGCTAACATCCGTGCCAATCTTCCTCTATATTTTAGTACGTGGGCCGGGAACACAGCATGACTGCTAACAGAGAGATGTAGGTCTGGGAACCATACCGAGGGAGCCAAAGCAGAGAGCTCCGAACTCAGCCACTAGGCCACCAGAGCTGGCCCTCTCCATCACCAATCTTATGAGGCTTGTCCCTATTCCTTCAATCCTCTTCTTTCCTTTTAAATTTATCTTCAAAAATGACCCTATTGGACCATAAAACATATTTGCAAAATGCAAATGCTTTCTAAAATACGAAAGAGTGGCGTCATAAATAACAAAAAGGGAAAAATCCCCTGAAAAACACTAATTACTAGTTACGATGCTCTTCTTACACTGTCCATATTTTGCAATGTTTACAAATATAGCAAAGGTCAGGGGGGAGCTGAGTTGCAGTGGGTAAAAGTTCATTTTTTAGAGTGAAAATTTCCCTCTGACTTTCTGTTACACCAGTAGAGTTTGTTCACTCCCTTACCGCATTCCATGGAGCATAAGGGGAGTTTGGAGTAGGTAATTCAGGAAGCAGAGGCAAACGTTATCAGCCTAGCATCCCCCTCTCCATGCAATGTTAGTGTTCACTAACCATCAACAGCCTCCCTTATCTTGCATCCAAAACTGAGAATAGACTCAAGCAATTGAACAAGGTCTTTTTGCACACTGCCCTGCGGGGATAAAAGACCTGTAAAGAAATCACTAATAGGGTTACTCAGTCCCTATCCATCATTGCGTATGCTAGCATCACATGACACTTGAAGTTCAAAAGCTTAGTTTTTTCCAAATTTAAGAAAATCTTGTGAAGACATTATGCAGAAGCTTAGTGTTCCACAGAACCCCAGACGAGAATCCCTGGTGTAAAGGTACAAAGTCTTCTTTCCTGTGTGTGCATGCATGCAAGACACATGTGTCGTGTGTGTGTATTTTAATCCTGGACTTTTCTTGTTTCTTGAATATATAAGGGAGTGTCATATAAGGAACAGATGCCACATAGGCCTGATAAGTCTGAGGTCTGTTAGACTTAAGGCCAGTTTTTGAAAAGGCAATCTATCAAACTTTGCCTTAGACACTTACAAAATCTACATGAGGGCACACCCTGCCTTGTGAACTTGTGAAGGAAGATGACTTTATTTAGCCCGTATTCCAAGGGCAATGACTATAGGGTCACCGATCATATGGCCCCTTCCTAGTCTTTTTTTTGGTGGGGAAAACTGAGACACTATTCACAAACACACACTGTTGACTGACCAAGTGGCCATCTTTCTCCCTCTCTCTTTTTCTTTTTGTTTGCTTCATGGGTTTGATTATGTCATTCACTTGGGAGAACTCCTGCTTCTTATAGGAAGTTTCACTATAATCTAATCGTTTGCATATGCTTTGATGTAAATGGCAAAAATTTAGACATAGAGTAATAATGATCATCATGGGGAATTTCTGATAAGTCAGAATCAATAAATTAATGCATTTAACAGGAGCTCCAGAAAAATTAGGAGACGAAACATCAAGCATTCAATAGTCAGCTGAGTGCTGAGACCTCAAAACAAAATTCTGGCTTTAAGATAGATTCTCCAGAAGACTGAAGTCTTCTGAAACCTATCTTTTGGCATCGCTTTCCTCTTACACTTATTACATAACCTCCTACCTTCTAAGTGAGCTATCCTTTCTTCAGGATTTTCTCAGGATAACAATAATCACATTTGTTTCTGTCTCTGTCTCTCTCTCTCTTCAAACTCCCAAACTCTACCCCAAGACAGGCATTCTGTGATTGTCTAGACACAGCTTCTGAATTTTATGGATTCAGCCGCATGCAGAGTCGAGAGCCAGGACTAGTGTGAGGCAAGAGAGGCTCCTAGGGTGCAAAATTTCAGGAGGACTTCAGGGTCTTGGTCATGCAAGTAAATTTTGCAACGTAGGTGTCCTCTTGCCTCATCTTTAGTTTTGACCCTGATAGAGTGACTGGTGATCTCTGGGTCCCACTTCTAAACTAGCAAAGAGAGAACGTCCCTGGCACATCTTGAATCAGGTATCCAGCTCTGATCCAAGGTGCAATGGCCCCAGGGTTGAGGTCACTTGGTATAAACATAGCTGCTGAGTGTCTATCTCTGGGCTTTTGGGGGCAGTTCTCAGATAAAGAGGAACCATGGCTTGGGAAGAAACCTCAATATTTTATATTACAAAAGCACTATATATATAAGTAGCATATTTTTACTGCATTTTGGTGCTATTATTTTCTACCCCTGTTATGAATCTCATAACTCCTAAGCATGTACATTGCATAGTTTACTCTGTGAGGAGCACTAGGACCCTTCAAGTTTTCTCACATAGTAGCTACCCTTGAGGAGTTTGCAGTTCCCTCAGGAGAATGAGACCCGAGCAGGATGCATGCTGCAGAGTGGACATGGTAAGCAATTCTAATCAATTCCACTTGAAAATAAAGTCTGTATTGAGTCAATACATCGCATAGAAGTCTTGAGAAGGAGAATAACAGCAAGAGCTGGGAAAGGATTCATGAAATAGGGGAATCAGTTATCCCTTCTTAATGATCTCTGTCTTGGGGACAAAGGAAACAGCAGATACAGAGGCTTACAGGAAGGATTAGATCAGAAAATACTTGAGCACTGAAATGTTGCATGGGACGCGGAACGTTCTTTTTAATATTCCATGTCCCATCTCCCTAACATGAATGAAAGACCCATAAAGTTTACATTGGTGCCACTTTCTTCTGTGAAGAACTTCCCCAGCATTGAGGAAAAACAGTCACAATCATTCTATTTACTTAAAATGATTCCATCGACCATGAGTTTAGGTTTCTGTAAAATGGTCAGTAATACGGATGTGGATGGGGGATCAGGTGGGGAGGAGTGTGTCCTTTGCAGAAAATCACTTTTTTCAAGTAAGCGAAAGGCATTTTTGCTTTGACTCTCTCCTACCGCCAACGACCCCCTTTCCACAGTGAAGAACTGGGCATCAAGAGCCCCTCCCTGCCCCTGCACTGCCAGAGCCAGTTTATGTCTCCAGAAGTTTTTGTGCTCACAAATCTAAACCCCAAAGCCTTTATTTGGCATTCCTCCATAAAATAAAACTAAGGACCCCTTGGAGAATTAAGCTTTTTGAGGAGACAACTGTTACTACAATTTATGTGAGGAATTGTTGAAAACATGGTGCATGGCTATGTTAAAGTCTCATACGAGAAATTTCTTTTAGAGCTAAATTTTGGAAGGACCTCGCTTTTTCCTTTCCCCTGAGGAACTGGTAACTTTTTCTATGAGAATAATTAGAACAATGGAACTGACCAGGTGGCCTTTTTTCCTTTTTCTACCACTAATTCAGTGCCAAACTGACAGTCCACAAAATGCTCTACTTTTCATGCTCCAGGTTTTCTTTGACCAATGCCTCTGATTCTAGTTTATATTTTCCTGAATCTTATTTTATTTTACTCTGAATCTGTTATCTGTAAACAGGTTCAAATCTTTGGTGGAACGAGATATAGAAGAAAGGAAGCAAGGAAAGAAGACGAGAGAGAGGGAGGGAGAGAAAGGAGAAGGGAGGGAGGCAAGGAGGAAGGAAGGAAGGAAGAAAGGATGAAAGTCCTCAAATTTTGCTCATAATGAGCAGAGTACAAAACAGCTGATCAAATGTGTATTACTGTCTCCTTAATACAAACAACGTTTGACATTTATCACTCCATTGGAAAGGCATCAAAGCAGAGACAAGATCATGAAGTTTTGTTTTCCCTTAAAAAGAACAAACAATGAGAACTCTGAAAAGAGCTGGAGTTTGGTCTTACGATGGCAGGGAGGGATTAGAGACTAAAAAACATTAAACACCGCCATAATAAGTTTCCTGTTCATATAACTCTACTCCAGGCTGCTACAGGGTTGAGAGGCAGCTCCGATCCTTCCTATAAGCCCTTTATCACGCATTACGCCCTTGGATCCTAACAAACACTCTGTGAAATAGGTCACATGGGTATTGTCTCAACTGAGGAATTAAAGCTCAACTTAAAGCCCTAAAGTAGGATTTACTGCAGTGTTATAATGGGTAAGACAGGAGGCTGTGGTGTCAGACCTAGCTTGAATTTCCAGTTCTACCATTAATTATTTATGAGACTTTAAGCAGGTCACTTAACCTGTTTCCTCATTTGTAAAATGAGAATAACCAGTACTCTCTGCGCATCTTCTACCCCTCCGAAGGGTCTGTGTATTTTGCATCAAGTCTCCAGAAGTCTAACTTGGCCAGACCTCATGTAGGTCTTATCTGGACCCTTTCCTTGGAATTTAAGTTTCCAACTCAAGTCTCCTTTCCCACTGCAGGACACCCCGAAATACTACTTGGTCCCTTCGCCAGTTGCCAATGATCCAGCTGACAGCCACCCCAGCAAGTGCCCTCATGGATGAGCCAGTGCACATCCGAGTGACAGGCCTGCCCCCGTTGCAGACAGTGACCCTCATGGCATCTCTGAAGGATGAGAAGGGGAATCTGTACAAGTCCAAAGCCTTCTACAAGGCTAACCAGGCAGGCAAACTGGACCTGGAGCAGGATCCTGCACTTGGTGGTGACTATGTAGGGGTCCATCCGATGGGCCTCTTCTGGGCTATGAAGTCCGAGAGGCCTTTTGGTAGGCTTATTAAGCACGATGTAATGAACAGCCCCTTTTGGGTCACTCTGGAGCTGTATGACTCAGTTTGCTTCCAAGATTCAGTCACGATTGAGCCCAGGGCCCGCCAGACGGTGCAGCGCTGGTTCTCGGTCCCTGAGGTGCAGCGGGTGCAGATCCGAGAAGGTCGCGTGCGAGGAGCTCTTTTTCTCCCTCCGGGTGAGACTAATGTGTGGTGGCAGAGAAAACACTGTTGATGGAGACAAAAACAAACGGCATCGTTTCATTGGAAAATTAGCATTTCCCACAATGTTTTAAAACTAACATGCCATTGGGGGTGTCTGTGTGTGTGTGTGTGTGTGTGTGTGTGTGAAGGTGGAATTCATTTTGCTCAGCCTGCACTTTCATTGCTTTCTATCTCCTTGACCTTCTTTCCACTTTTTCTGATCCCAATCTCTTCTCTCTTTATTGATCTCAGGGGCAGGCCCTTTCCCAGGCATCATTGATTTGTTTGGGGGCATTGGGGGTCTAGTGGAATTTCGGGCCAGTCTTTTGGCTGCCCGTGGCTTTGCAATGCTGGCATTGGCATATTTCGCCTATGAAGACCTGCCCGAGCAACTGCAGGAGGTGGACCTGGATTACTTTGAGGAAGCTGCCAACTTGCTACTAGCTCATCCCAAGGTACTGAAAATACTCTTCATTTTACCTTGCAACATTACAGGAAAAAAACCCCCTACAAATCTCTGTTCTGCCTCTTTCATCATCTGTTTAGACTTGGGCATCGCACAGTTAAACACTTAACATGGGGATGATAATAGCTACCTTGTAGGATTGTTGGGTTGGTTAGTGATCAGCTTAGTGCTTAATGGCACAAAGAAGACAATAAATGGTGGCTATGCTATGATTGTTCAACAGAAAAAAGCCAAGGCTGCTTACATTTATAGTGCTTGTGACATTCATCAGCGGCTCCTCAATTTTTTATCAGCCACTGATCTCCAATCATGAATTCTCTGTCTTGACACATTTCCAAACTTCAGTGATTATCTCTGCATAAGGTTAGGCTAGAGTAAGTCAAACGAAAGAGTCAGATTAACAACACGGAGGTTCACTACTAAAGCTGGGCCGTGAGATCAGAGCAGAATTGTCAGCAAAACTCAGGTGGCTGCACCATCTGATGAGCTCGTAGCTCTTTAGTTAAGTTTTCAGATCTAGGGACAGAACTAGGCCTAAGTAAGCACCCAATGCCAGGAGCCAGGCCAGGGAAAGGAATCTTGAAAGGAAGGGTCATTCTAGAACTCTTTGTCAAGTGTTGTACTGTTGAAAGTGTGATCCATGGACCAGGGGCCTTGGTACCTGGGAGCCGTTTGAACGTAGACTCCCAGGCCCCATCCCTGAAGCAGCATCTGCATTTTAACAGCATCCCCAGGTGATTCGTGTGCACATTTGAATTTGAAAAGGATTGGAATAACACATCTCATAACCCAGCTTTCTGCTATGAGTTAAATATCAGATGAATTATGATTTAGTTCTCTTGAAGAGGTCCCATCGTACTGATATTTGTGTTAATGACTAAAAAAAGACACATCAGAATAGATATCACATTGTCAGGCATCCGGGATGACATTCTATTAAGTTGGACCATATTAACATTAGTTCCACCTTTCTGTCATCAGAATCACCTGTGAGCAAGATAAACCTACCAGGTCGCTATGGATTTGCTGCTTGCTGTCCAGAATGCTCTTCCTTTCTTCACTCAGCTCTCAGACTTCTTCTCTCCCTCGGCTTCCTCAGCCTACCACAGAATTAAGGACTCCCTCCTATGACCTCCTACTTTTCCTATTGGACTGGGTACAGAAATTCAATTGTTTATAGAATTCAAGTCTTTCATCTTTACACTCCCAATGCTTTCACGATTAGCCTTTGGATTAAGAGATGTGCAAAACCTTTGTAGCTGTGAAATGCTATTTAAATATTAATTACACTTACAAAACATTTGACGGAACCTGGGAAACCTCTTTTCCTAGCTGGAGAGAATTTGATTCTTCTGAAAGCTTACCTGCCTCCACTCAGGATGTGGAATGTTGCTGGTGCATTTGACCCTTTCGCTTTCGGTAAAACTCTTCCTTTAGCAAGGAGTTTTATTTCTACTGTTTCACTTGATCTTCATAACAATCCTGCAAGGTAGGTAATATTATCACCCCCATAAGACAATAAGGCTTAGAGCGGGTAAGTAGGTAATATTGACAGTCACAGAAGCTGGTAAACCAGAGCGCCAGGACCACCCCCCACCGTCCTGGCGGCTCCCACGTCCTGCCCATTTTCTGACACTTGCCATCATACTAGCGGGTAGGACAGTGCCCTTCTCAGAGTATGGTCTGTAATGAGTTCCCTTTATTTTGTGCTTCAGATCCAAAAGCCAGGAATCGGAGTGCTCTCGACAAGCAAAGGTGCAGAGATAGGGCTGGCCATGGCCTGCTACCTGAAGCAGGTGGTAGCCACTGTCTGGATTAATGGGACCAATGCCATCTTTGAATTTCCTCTCAAGTACAGGGATATGGTTATGAAACCCATCCCCTCGTTTCTGGAGCGCATGCAGATGGACATCTCAGGGGCTGTGCGACTCCGCCACTACAAGGGGGACCCTCGGGAAAAACTAAATCAGCAGAGCGTGCTTCCTGTTGAAAAGGCCAGGGGTCCGATCCTCTTCATTATATCAGGGGACGACGAGTGCTTCAATAGCAGGCAATATGCGGAGCAGGCCCTGGACCAGCTGCGGAGCCACGGGAGAAGTAGTGGAAGGATGCTGGTCTACCCAGGGGCGGGCCACCTCTTAGAGAGTCCCCATGGGCCCTCGTGCTATGCTTCCTGGAGCTACAGCCTTTCTGCCCCCATACTCTGGGGAGGGGACCGTGTTGCTCATGGTGCAGCCCAGGAGCACTCCTGGGCAGAGATCCAGAAATTCTTCAGGCAACACCTTATTCTGACCAGGGGCAAATTCTGAGTAAGGGCTAAGGCTAATGATGGAGTTGGGGGAAAAAAACGAGGATGAGGCCGGGATGTGGTGGGGAGGGCAGGCTCTCCTGATTCTCTAGATTGACAGTCATATTGAATCAACTGGAAGGAAATTGGACGGAATCAAAGGACCAGGGCACAGTTGAATCTGAAGTATTTCTAACAAATTTGTATGTGCTTTGAATTTTTGTATATCTAATCATAGTCTATACGCACCAGGGTATTTGGCTGTTTCAAAATTGTGATACCCTTGCAATTAAATGATCTTTTGTACCCAAGTTAGGGATACCTTGATCCAGCTCTTGCCAATCTAGATGAATTCCCTGAAACTTCCAAGTTCCTTGTGGAAATACATTTTCTGCTTAAACTGTTTCGAGTTGAATTCTTGACATTTGATATGAAAAGGTCTAATACGATCATCAAGTGTAATGCTTGCTATAGATTTCCAGTAGATACTTTAATTTTTTAGAATAGTGTTGCTTCTTTTTATTCCTAAAATATATATCTTTTTACAATTTTAATCAGGGATGAGATTAACTTTAATCAAATACCTTTGTAGCACTTATTGAAAGTCAGTGAGGTAACATATTTAAAGCTATTAGAACAGTACCTGGCACATAGCAATTGCTATACAAGAGTTAGATATTATCATTTTCATAACACTTTCCTCCTCCAATCTGTTAGGGGGTGAGTTACATTAATTAATGAACTAAAATTACTCAGTCATCTAACTTTAACAGATGAATTTCTCATATTAACTAATTTGGGGTTTACAATTTCTTTTGGAGCCAACCTGGTCATTTATATTTTCTGAGAATTTCACCCATATTTTCTAGAACCCATTTTGCTCTTACAGTTTTTCACATGTTCCCTATTGTTTACTCAAATGCTTTTTTTCCCTCTCCGTCTGAATTGCCAAATATTTTTCTATTTTATTGATCTTTTCCAAGAACAGGTTTTGGTTTGTTTATTGGTCAAATCTATTTTTTCCTCATTCATTGATTTCTGTTTCTTGAAAATAAATCCATTCCTTCTGCCATTTTTCTGTTTATTTTTTTGGCTCTTGATACACAATGCTCTCGTTTTATGAATTTCTAAATAGTTTCTGATTTACTTTTTTTTCTTCCTCTTAAACACATGAGTAATTTTACAGAAGTACAAAGTATCAGCCTGTAGATAACTTCCTGGTTGTAAGGGGGAGGGAGGAAGAACGTCACTTTGCAATGGGGGGATCAGATCACCACCTGAACCCACTGATCAAATTTAGCATCTCTGAAAATGGTCAGTTTGACGTTGTGCTTCATGATTAGATTTAATGTGGAGTGTCCAGCATTACCTAGACAACGTCTAACAACACTGTTTAACTTGAACCTGATCAAGCCTTTCGATCAAACTTCTCATTGATATAGTGGCTAAAGAACAAGTTAAAAGGCACTCCAAGGAGACAAGCAAATCCAGATTGTGGGTCGTTCTATGTCCTCATCTCTTTACAAGTTAATCACATGAAAAACTTGGGATTTTTTTCCTTTTTTTTTTTTGCATTGGAGTGAGCTGGTGGACTGTTCAGAATTAAAAGAGACATATCAACCAAATGCTATGTGTGGACCTGGTTTGAAAAGAATAACTGTAAAAAGACATTTTGGGGGCAATTAGAGAAATCTGAATATGGACTAGATATTAAATGATATTAAGGAATTATTATTATCTTGTTAGGTGTCATAATGATATTGTGGTTATGTAAAAAAGTCGCTATTTAGAGATGCCTACTGATATATTTAAAGGTGAAGGGTCACAATATTTGGGAATTATTTTAAAATACTACAGGAATATGGCAAAATGTGAACAATGATTACATCTAGATGACGGGTATAGTGACATTTGTGATAACGTTTTCTTTTATGTGTGCTTTCAATTTTTCATAATAAAAAGTTAAAAAAATAAAAGACATAATCAATATATTTACCTTTCTGCCCCCAAAGGCAAGAACTTTAGCATATACTGCATCTTTTTCTCCCATTAATTTCAGATTATTCATTTTTTTATAACCAATAATTATTTAAATAACTATGCTTTAATAGTTCCTTTGCTCCTCACTCTTTCTTACAACCTGTCTTTTTAATTCTCGGCTTTATCTTCCATTTGGCCATTTCTTCCAAGTACAAACTCAAGTAATTATTCAAAAATGATTAATATTCATCTGAATCTTTGTACATCTGAAAATGTTTATATTTTGCTCTCACTCTTCAGTTATAATTTTTATACATATAAAATTTGATGTTAACAATTATTTTCCCTGATCTTTGGTCTTTTATTCTGGCATCCATTGTTGCCAACAAGAACTCTGATTCTTGTTACTTTGTGGAATTTTTTTTCTTCCTCTGAAAGCTTTTTACAATTTTCTCTTTGTTCTTAGTGTTCTGAGATTTCATCAAGAAGTGAGTATGTGTGGGACCAGCCTGGTGGTGCAGTTAAGTCCGCACATTCCACTTCGGCAGCCCAGGGTTCGCTGGTTCAGATCCTAGGTGCAGACCTATGCACCACTTGTCAAGCTACGCTGTGGCAGATGTCCCACGTGCAAAGTAGAGGAAGATGGGCATGGATGTTAGCTCAGGGCCAGTCTTCCTCAGCAAAAAGAGGAGGATTGGTGGCACATGTTAGCTCAGATCTAATCTCCCTCAAAAAAAAAAAAAAAATAAAATTAAAAATTTTTAAAAAAAGAAATGATTAGGGGTGAGTTTATTATTACTATTTTAATTTATTTTGCTTGGTACTATATGGGCGATTTCAAACTAAAGATGTAGCTATCTTCAGCTTTAGGACATTTGTGTCTATTATCTGGTCGCTTCACCTTTTTCATTTTTTCCTTTCTCTCCTTCTGGAACCCCAATTAAGAGGATTTGGGAACTTCTGGTTGTATCCTCCATGAATATTAAATTTTTCTCATCCTTTCACTTCTTTTTGCTTTTTCCCTGTGCATTCTTGGAGAACGTCACCTTTTAATTGTTCGACTCACTAATTTTTCCTTCAGTTGTGTCTGACGTGCTATTTAGCTCATTTCTTGTGTATTATTTTGATGATGATTATTTTCAATTTCCATGATGTCTAATTGGATCTGTTTCCTTAAAGCCTGTTCTCATTGTTCCCTCAGAGGTATAATTGACAAATAACATTGTGTAAATTTAAGGAGTACAACGTGATAATTTGATGTATGTATATATTGTGAAATGATGACCACAATAAGGTGAGCTAAGACCATCATCATGTCACATAGCTATCAATTTTTTCTTGTGGTAAGAACAGTTACGATCTAGTCTTGCAGCAAATTTCTGGTATACAATACAGTATTGTTAATTACTGTCACTGTACTGTACATTATCCTGTTCTCATTTTATAGATAGATCAATACATCATCCTTCCTTATTCTTCTTTTCACTTGTAGGTTTCATGAACACACTCAAATTCTGTGCAGGATAATGTCATTGTATTTTTTTAAAAAACAAAATTAACCAGAGTCTTCTTATTGAGATTAAGAAACCCACTTCTCCCAGCACTACCCAGCTCTTTTTAGGGATCTGATTTCAGCAAAGTGAAACATAGCTTCTTCATGGCCTTCTTTGCAAGGCTTCACTGGGATCTCAGCTCCCAGCTCCATTTAGTCTTTTAGACATTTAGTCTTGCCCTATTACTTGGTTAGAGAAATCTAACTAAAAGTGACTTACACAACTGGGCAATTACTGTCTCTCATAAAAAGAAATCCATAGGGCAGGATGGTTTTGGTTTATTCCGCATTCGTTTATTCAGTAGCTCAGCAGTGTTATTAAGAACGAAATTCCTGGGGCCAACCCACAGCCCAGTGGTTAAAGTTCTGCATGTTCCACTCTGGCAGCCTGGGTTCGCAGTTTAGACCCTGGGCAGAGATCAACTCCACTCATCAGCCATGCTGTGGAGTCATCCCACATACAAAGTAGAGGAAGATTGGCACAGATGTTAGCTCAGGGCTCATTTTCCTCAAGCAAAAAAAAAGAAAAAAAAAAGAGGAAGATTGGCAACAGATGTCAGCTCAGGGAGAATCTTCCTCACCAAAACAAAACAAAACAACAAAAAAGAATGAAATCCCTTCCATCTTTCTGCTCTGCAATCCTTATCATGTTAACTTATTCTCTTACGCTAGCTCCCTCTATTGTTCTAAGATGTCTACCACAGGCTCCGGTATCTTGTGAAGAAAACCTCCCTTAGATTTCCCCATGTCTCAGTGGCCAAAGCCATGTCACATGTTCATGCCTAAAGTACTCACAGGCAAGGGAAATGAGACCACCATAACAACTTGGACAATCAAGATTTACCCATGGGTGTCCATTTGGTGGACAGTGAACAAAAATGAGATCCATTAGTAGCTGGGGCTATTGAGTTGGCAGTTAGCATGGTTTACCTCGCCTGCTTTTCCTGTTTCCCCTAACTATTTTCATAATAGATGAAAATTGCAGTGGAGAAGGTGCTCTTCTTGTTTCTCCTGCATTCAAACTGTCTTCTGTAACTTCTGGACAAAGATTACTACTCAAGTAAGAGGGAACTCCTTCTGCCTGACTGTTTGAGCTAAGACATTGGTCTTTTCCTGCCTTCAGACTCATACTGAAACATCAGCTCTTCTTGATCTCAAGCCGGACAGCTTTCAGACTGGAACTTACATTATTGGCTCTCATGATTCTCAGGCTTTCAGACTCAGAATAGAATTACACTATCAGCTCTCCTGGGTTTCTAGCTTGCTGATTGCAGATCTCGGGACAGCTCAGCCTCCATAACTGCATGAGCCAATTCCTTATAATAAATTAATTTCTCTCTATATACATCATGTTGGTTCTGTTTCTCTGGAGAACCCTGGCTAATACAGATTTTGGTACTGAGAGTGGTTCTAAAGAAAGCAGAATTTTAAGGATGAGTTTTCTGTATTGGTTCTGGGATTTCTGGAATTAGCTCTTTAATCTGATTAGATTGAAAGATGCTAGTGACTCTATTTCCAGTAGTAAAGAGAATATTAATAGTTCATGGCATAATCTGACCATAGAGATATGCAAATATCACCTTTGGATACTCCTGATCAACCACTTCTAAGAAGCAGGGTCTAGGTGGCTTTGTATACACTACTTTTGAATTTTCTTGGCAAACTAATGAATATAATGAGATTGGCTAGTTGCTCTTAATGTCACTGAGCAAAGTGGGGAAAGAAAAGGATGAAATCAGGGATTTAGATTCCCAGCTTATGTGTCCCATAAATGATCTAAAAGCTTCTATGTGTGCTTGAAGAAAATCCTTATCTTCTGTAGCCTCAGGGATGAGATTGCTAAAAATCAAACCCAGAATCTTACCCTG